TAGACAACCAATGACAGAAAAATAGCATAGCAGAAATGAGGCAGAGAAGGGTGACTATCATCGCTAACATAGATAGCCTTGATACACTAACAAAAAGAAACACAGGCAGGGTAGATCAGGAGGTAGGGTCCATCAAGATGCTCTGTATAGAAAATATAATTAACTTGAAAGAGGGTTTATGGACCAAAAATCAAATATAAGAAAACAATGCTCTATGTGACAGGGAACCAGAGAGAAATAGGGGTATCTTAACCAGCAATTGCAGATAGGTTGGAAAGACTGACACTTGTGTGCAGTAGAGAACTACTCAGCTACAATGAAGGAAAACCTAGAGGCTTTTGTAGGTAAAGGAATACAACTTGAGATCAAGTCCAAGAGTGAGAAGGATCAGAATCATTTAGGTAAATAGCAGGTTGCCCCCCATTTTAAAACAGGGAGATTGTTGAACCCAAAATGCACATCGCACCCTGTAAAAGTGAAAGGGAAAGAATTGTCTGAAAAAGCAAGGCAGAGGATGTTGTTAACAGTGTATCAGGATTTCAAACCCACATCACTCTCACTGCTCTGTTTAGGTGGATTATTCTCTGTTCCAGATTATTTTCTGTTTCTACTTCTAATAGCTTTCAGGGCACAGACAGCTATCCCCAAAATAGCAGGATATAGTACAGTAGTTATCCTTAATTTCCTATTAACTTAATCTGAAGCCCTGTATAACTTACACTGTCTTCTCATGACTGATCTTATTTGAATCTGGTTTGTTAGATTGCTGTTTTGTATTGACTGATTTTATTCAAATCTGTTATGATTGATAGTATCAAATCTGAGAGTATAGGCAACTACATTGAAGATGACAAGATTCACTAGGATACCCACTCTGGTTTGACTATTACCTGCTTTTGAGGTCTTACAATGTCTCCAAAGTTTTGTTTTTATTAATATTGTTATGTACTACTCTGTTTAATTGTGCTATGCCTGGTGATATAGACAACTCTATTGAAGATAACAAGAGATATCATAGTAACCAACATAGATCACCTTGTATTGTGGTTTTATATGTTTTTTCACTTTATGTTTTTCTAGGAAATTGTTGTTTTGTCTTGCTTTGTTTTGTTTTTCCCTCTAATACAGAAAGGATACATATACATGTAGAGACTCATGCATACATATCACTTATAAACAGTTAATTAGAACTGATTATATAACACATGATGAAATGAACAACCACTCTGAAGAAAAAGAGACACTAAGGTACCTAGTGCTGATTCCATAGCATCATGTTGTGAAATCCAGCAATACGATTATTTGTTCAGAGTGACTTTAGTCCATTTTGTTTTGTTTAATTTCGACATACATGAAGGACAGCTATTCTGAAGAGAATGAGAGACATTATGACAACCATTGTTGACTTCCCTATTGTCTGGTGTTGAAGACCTAAAACACTTTCATCATCCTGTTTGGATTAATTTTACACTATGCTGTTTTGTATGAATTCACTGTATATAAAGATATGGACAACTATTTGGAAGAAAACAAAAGACAATATGATAGTGAAGATCTCTGGTTGTATTGCTTTGAAATTTATCTCTTACATTGCTTTATTTTATTGCTTGTTCTGTTATGTTTAATTTTACTCTCTAAAATAAAAAAAGAAAATGTTACAAGCAAGCAATTCAACAGAACTATGGAAAAAAACTAACAAAAACCCCAGCAAAATAAAGACAATAAAAAGCTAAAAAAAGTGGGACTGGGGGTAACCTCAGTACCAAAAAAAGAGAAAACAAGCTACAAAAAAGGAAAATACACACCCACATCCTAAAAAAAGAAAAGAAAGGAAAGAGAAGGAAAAGAAAAGAAATGAAGTCCAACCATATGTGATGGTACACACCTGTAAATCCAGCACTCGGGAGACTGAGGCAGGAGGAGGGTCACTGCAAGTTCAAGACCAGCCTGGGCTATATAGTAAGACCATGTCTCAAAAAGAAAATCAATAGAGAAAAAAAGAGAGAAAGACCAAAAAATCCAAAATCCAAAAAAGTCCCCTGTGCTTTTGAATGAGTCTTTGCTTTCCAGGGTCTGCAGCTTTGGCACCCAGCAAACATGAGGAGGGACAGTGAGTCATTGTTGAGACCTGTTTTGCTTCCACACTTACATTTCTGTATGGATGTTGGATGCTGCCCTGCCTTTTCTGCTGGACATGGGCAGTCAGTGGTGTCTGCCTGGAGACTGCGCTCACTCTAGCAGCTCCCACTTTCCTTGTCCCTCTGTGCACCCCAAGTCAGTTTTCTCTCACTAGCTTTCAGCCTGTGGATTTGGGAGGTGCCCCCACTCCTGCTCCAGAGGCCCCTTTATATGCCGAAGGCCATGGCAACCACCCAAATGGAACTGTACCATTGCTCATGTTAGAAACACAGCTGAATTCCGAGGTAGATGTAGGTGGGGTGAGAATCAGGCAGTCTGCTAGACCTAATGCCTGCACCTGCAGATCCAGCCCTTCTCTAAGCCTGGTCTGGTTTCTCAGCACGGAGTTTGGGACACCCACATCCCTCCTGGGGGCTCTGGCCAGCCTGCACACCTTCACTACTACCTCCTGGGGCCATCTCCCACCCAGTCACTGCGGAAGGGTGACACCAGATCTGCTCTGCATTGCTCTTGGCTCAGTCCCAAATAATTAATCCCTCCTCAAATGGCTCTGGGTTAAATCCTCTCAAATGTGGCAGGCACCGAACTGCACTTCCTCCCCAACTCCATCCTGCTTTACAAAAGGGCCACTTTCCGAATAAAATACTGTGTTTTTGCAGTTTATAGTAGCTGAGGGCTTCTCTCAGTGTCTCTCCCTAGAGCCACCCCATCTCTCCTGGGCAGATGCCCCTCCCAGGAGCTGAGGGGAGCTTGGAGCCCTCCCCATTCCTGAACCCCTGCACTGGTTCATCTCTCTGGCTTTGCAGTTTCCAGTCTTCCTAGCAGCTCCTTCTCCATTCACCTCCTTCCTTCTCTTCTCTACACTGTTGCTTGACTCTAGATCCCGGAAGTCCACACTTTGCTGGCAGCCTCTACTCCACCATTTCAGGTTTCCTCCTTTTTACTTTTGATGATGTTCTTGGATGCATAAAGATTTTTAAATTTGATGAAGCTCAATTTGTCTTTTTGCTGTTTTTACTGCCTGTGCTTTTCATGTCATGTCCTGGAAATTACTGCCAACATCAGTGTCATTCAACTTTGCCCCCTGTTGTCTTCTAAAAATTTTATTACATTTTTCTATTTGGGATTTTGGTGCATTTTGAGTTTTGTGTTGGCAAGATGATCTGTAGTTTGTGTGTGTGTGTGTGTGTGTGTGTGTGTAGTGCAGCAGACTGAACCCAGGGCCTCACATATGCTAAGCAAACACTCTACCACTGAGCTACATCCCCAGCCTGCAAGTCCATTAGTATAGCTGAGATTGATCCTTCCTAGGGGTGGACCGCTCTATTCCTTGTGTCTGCCGGTCAGCATGTGGCCTGGAACTAAGCCAAGGTGTTGTAAGCAGGTTCTTCAGCCTCATTCTACCTCTGTGTCCTTGTCTGAAAATGGAGTTGGTCACAGTACTCGACTCATGAATTTGTTATGAGGATTCTGATACACAAAGCCCCTTAATGGGGGTAGGGGTGCAGGTGGAGATGGTGGTTATTGTTGTAGCCCCTCCAGGCACTAGATCTTCTCTATTTGCTAAACTTGAACCATAAGCCATTCTCACTCAACAGAAACAGCATTTTGCAGGGTCCTGTGCCTACATCTGCTTTTTGCACTTAGAAAGCCATCTCTCAGCTCCAGCTTGAGGGAGATGTTGCTTCGGCCCCACAGAAGGTGATCAGCTACTCTGTACACACATTAGCACCACAGCTCTAGGCATCTAGGCACAGTTACATCCCATGTGGCCAGAGACCTTCAGTCCCCACTTGCTGCCACAAGGGCTCTTGTCATCTCTAGCAATCGAGAATCGCATTTCCTCCTTTCCAATTCAGCTCTGCATGTTGTATTTTCAGTCTTTGCTTTGTATTTTCATTATGTTTCTTATCATGCATGCTTGTTTTCAGGCTTGAAGCTGAATTGTCAAGACTTCCCTGTGAGATCTGTTGAGCAGTTTAACCAGAAATGTCACTGATTTTTGTCTTGCTTTTCTTGTATTTCATAGCGTATCCTATTTGGGGGATTATTTGGTCAGTTTCTCTGGTCATGGTCACAGCTTATGTGAAAGGGTGAGTGGCCCTGGGCTGAGAATGACACAGGACAGGGGGCGTCTGTGAGTGGAGGAAAATGGGAAGGACCTCTGTGGAGTGAAGATGGAGCTGCCCTCCTCAGACCGTGTGTGTCAGAGTACTGGACAGTGACCAAGATGCGGCAGAGGGCTGAAGGCTGTGGCTGGTGCTGAAACACACATGGACAAGCACCCAGACCCGAATATCTGCATCTGTTTCTACCCTGCTGCTCCCTTGACTGCACATGTGTAATGCCCAGCTTTTCTGCAGTAGCAGGTCTAAGGGTGAGAAGAAATGCCCTGAAAATCTCCGAGGATGACCATGTGTCCCATGAAAGAAGAAAGAAAGAAAGAAAGAAAGAAAGAAAGAAAGAAAGAAAGACCAAAACATGTGAATATAAGTGAATGAGACATGAGAATATATGTGAATGAGCTCAAGCCCAGCCTGAACTGCATAGCGAGACTCTGTCTCAAAAGCACATTAAACAACAACAACAACAACAACAGGGGTTTCAACCCCACCCCACTCTTTCTACTTGCAGAAGTACCCAAATGGAAAAGAGGAGTTCTGTTTTAAAAGTCTAGAGTCCTAAGTTCTCTGCTTGGCTTTGGAGCCTGACTGTTCTGATTCTCAGAGACCTCCTCACCTACAAAACAGGGACAGTGTACCAGAGGATGGGTGGAGACTTTCCAGATTGAACATTCCATGCCCGGCCCTTAAGCCACTGATGTCATAATAAGGACTTTGCTTGTGAATGCTACAAAGCTTCTCCCAGTGCTGCAGTTCTTTGGTCATGGAAACAAGCTGGACTCACCCTGGATCTTCCCTACTTGTGATCCTGTGCTATGGGCAGCTCTTGTCATGGCTTAGGATTGTGGGGGATGCAAATTTATGTGTAACTACAGACCTAAAGGAACATGTGACAGGGCCCTGGGTGGGGACAGGATCACATAACCCCCTTCCTGCAGCTGTGGCCTACAATGAAACTGAGGCAAAGCGGTTCCTGAAGTACTATGAACAAACAGCCAATACTGTGTTGAAGGAGTTTGTGGAAGCCACTTGGAACTATGTCACCAACATCACCAAGACAAATCCAGAACAAATGGTATGGTTCCACCTTCCTGCCCTCTACTCTTTCCACCCTTTCCTCTTCTCAGGGGTTATTGGGAATTAGGACTCGTATATGCTGATCCCGGTCTAGAGTCGGAGGAAAGAGGGAAGCTTCGAAGCACATGTTAAAGCGAGCTGCAAGCTCCAGGTCTCTTAGTGGCCCCAAACTGTTTTTTTTTTTTTTTTTTTATAAGCGTCTGCTGGTTCTTTTCCTTTTTTAAGCCCTTCGTCCTTGCTTCTAGGAACCCAGGATCCTCTTAGCAAATCTTCAATGATATGGACACTTAAAATGGGATTTGGAAGTGGGAAGGGGAGTCATGGCCCTGGCAGTTCAATGTGGGACACCTACTGCCTGTCTCAACGTGCCACAACAAACGTGATGACCCTCTTTCCACCTGCAGAAGGAATTAGAGAGGTCCTACGTCAAGAAACACTTTGGCACCCAGCCCCACCGGTTTAACATCACCCAGCTCCAGGACCCAACTGTGAAGCGCATGCTGAGTAAACTACAGGACATAGGCAAGACAGCCTTGCCATAGGACGACCTTTGGGAGGTGATGGACAGAGCCCCAGGGCTCCAGGCACACTTGCCCTAGCCCAGGGATGGGTGGGTCATACCTGGTGGGGAACCAGTGTCTGGGGCAGGAGATGGGCAGTCAGAGCAGAAGCAAAGTTCCTGTATGGGAGGAGGGTGGGTGTTTGAAACAGACCCACCCCTTCTGGTTTGTGGAGTTAGTGCTACTGGCAGGCCAGGGCACAGGCCTGTCCTGGGTGACACCTGTCCCCCCAGTACAACAAGCTTGTGGCCCACATGGAGACAACATACAGCCTGGCCCAAGTGTGCCTGGATGAGGGGTCCTGCATGACCCTGGAGCCCGGTGAGTGTCCAGGCCCTGCCCCTTCTGTGGCTCTCCCAACCCTAGCTGAGCTGCCTTGTTGGAGGAAGGCACCTGGGGTGGCTAATGGCAGAGCCGTGCGTGACGTGGGGGTCCCATGTGACTTCTTTTCTGGCCACAGACCTCGAAGAAGTCATGGCTACATCCAGAGACCATAAGGAGCTGCTGTGGGCCTGGGAGGGCTGGCGGGACTCTGTGGGTCGCCAACTCCGCCCCATTTTCTGGCGCTACATGCAGCTCAGCAACAAAGCTGCACAGCTCAACGGACACAAGTCTGGAGCAGTCTGGACACAAGTCCGTCACAGGAAAGTACCCAACAAGGGGCAAAGTTGAGTCTTCAGAGGGAGGCACAGGATCCCAGACACTCAGCTGCAGGCCTGTAGGGGGCCCCACAAATGTCAGATGAGTAGGTACTGTGTGCTGGATGCTACAGAGGTTCTGAACCTATGCAGGTAAAAATAGATGCATGCTTGTCCTGTGAGCTTGCAGTCCTGTAAGGAAGTACTGTGGTCAAGGACACACTCTTCTTTAACACCACTTATGATGATGGTGCAGAGATGGTGCTGAGGGAGGAAACGAGGAAAGCCTCCAGCTCTTACTCATGCTCAAAACATGGCCAAGAGCCAGCCAGGCAGGAAGAAAATGGCCCGCACTGGGAGAGAGGCAGAGTTTGGAGAATCTGAAAGAAGCTCATAGGGCCACTGGGCTGCGGTTGAGGGAGTTCCCAAGCAGGGTGACAGAGGACAGGAGGTTGCAGGCATGGCGAGGATGAGGAGGGACTCACTGTGGGCTAGAGAGGGCAGAGCCTTGAAGGCATGGAAAGGAGCTCATACTGGGGCTTCGTTTCATACTTCTCCTGGTCTGATCCGATCCAGTGCAGACTGTGGCCTCGGCAGGTAATACTCCCATTTTTCAGGTGAAGGTCCAGACAACCAGGGAGCTTGAACAGCTTCCCAAGGAAGCACCTAGGTCTCCTGCCTGCAAGACTGGGCTAAGGTGGGTAGGGTGAGTGCCTGGCAAGTCCCCTCTCCTGCCCTAGGGTACAAAGACATGGGACAACTGTGGCGTGCTACGTACGAGTCAGATACCCTGGAGCAAGACATGGAGCAGATTTACCAGGAGCTCAAGCCTCTCTATCTTAATCTGCATGCATATGTGCACCGTGCCCTGTACCGCCACTATGGGCCTGAACTCATCAGTTTTCGGGGGCCTATCCCTGCCCACCTGCTGGGTAAGGGTCTGCTGGTGCAGGGATGGGTATTCAGTCAGCAGGCAGACTGTTGTCACCTCCTCTGAACCCTTCCACTCTCCATCCAGGGGACATGTGGGCTCAGTCCTGGGACAACATCCTAGACATGGTTCTGCCTTTCCCTAAGAAGCCCCCCATAGACATCACATGCATGATGAAACAGCAGGTCAGTGCTTGGCCCCTGGATGTCCCTACCCTCAGGTGCCTGGGGAATAGGGCAGTGTACATGTTCTCCCTCACCGCAACAGCACTGGAGACCTGAGAAAATGTTTGAAGAGGCTGACAAATTCTTCACCTCCTTGGGGATGCTGTCTGTCCCACCTGATTTCTGGAAAAAGTCAATGCTGGAGAGGCCGGCCGATGGACGGTCAGTGGAATGTCAGACCTCTGCCTGGGACTTTTACAGTGGCAATGACTTCAGGTAACTATCATCAACAGGGCCAGCTGCTAGCACTACAATTCCACATCCTCGTCCCATCCCACATCTACCTGTCATAGGCAGGTATTAAGGGAGGAGTAAGGACGGGAGGGCCCAGCAAAGGGAGGGGAGATGTAAGCCAGAAGTACAGAAGGGGAGATGGACGCGGAAGCCATGGTCTTGGTCACTGATTGGATATGGGGCCTGGAGTGGGAAAGATAGCAACCAAAGCCCTCTGATCTCCAGCCTGTTCATGCCAGTTCCTTAAAGAGGTCTCAATGTAGAAGTGTACCAAACTTCCTAGGGCATTTTCATGCTCTTGATCCTTGTCCTTTAACTCTAGGATAAAGAAATGCACTGAAGTGACCCTAGAAGACATGCTGTCCGTCTTCCACCAGATGGGTCATATCCAATACTTCATGCAATACCAGAACCTGTCTGTAATCTTCCGGGAAGGTGCCAACCCTGCTTTTGAAGAGGCTGTGGGGGCAATGGTCACACTCTCTGCCTCTTCCCACAGGCACTTGTTCAGCACAGGCCTGCTCAACCTCCTGCGGCAGGACTCAGGTTGTGAGGACCAAAGGGACAATAGGAAGGCAGCCTGAGCCTGGGGTTGCAGCTTGAGGGGAGTGGGTGGGGCCATCCAGGCATGGGTAAAGGAAGGGAGAGCTCTGGAGCCAACCCCTAATTGCCCTGACCTCATCCCCAGAGGAGGAAGTCAATTACCTGATGGGCATGGCCCTGCAGAAGATTGCCTTCATCCCCTTCAGCTATCTAATGGACCTGTATCACTGGAGGGTCTTCGATGGCACCATTGAGAAGAACATCTACAACCAGGAGTGGTGGAACCTCAGGTGGGAAGGTGCTCCTCTGGACTTTCAGCTCCATCCCCACACGTGGTGTGCGTAGAGCTTGACCACCACTGCCAGAGGGTGATGGTGGCCTCGCCTTTAAAAGCAGAGTAGGGTACAATGTTGGTGACTCTTGGGCTTAGAGAAACCCCAAGACAGTGTGAGATGTTTGCTGCCAGCAGACAAAAGCACCCATGGTGTAGTGCATAGAGCCAGTGTGGGGAATCCTGAAGCCCCCTTCTGAATCTGGTACCGGCACTGAGCTGGTCTCAATCTCTCCAGCTTCAGTCTCATCTGTGAAAAAGGCATCCTGGCAGGCTCCCCCTGCTCCTTGGTTGGCTACCATGATTGTTCCTGGAATTCCTCAAGAACAGAACATTGACCACCAAGCAGCCCCCCTCACCTCCCTCCTTCTTCCCACAGTGAGGCTGGGAGGACAGATGAACAGGGCCTCAGCACTTGTCCTCTGGGAAAGAGTGGCCACAGGAGGGAGGCAGGCTCCCTGCCCTTACACACATGCCTGGCTGCCAGAGGCTTGGCATCCCAAAGCAATCAAAGGAGTCCACCCACAGTTAGGCAGGGCATTTGGTTGGATAATAATACGGATGAGCAGGGCTTCTCCATATCCACCAGGTGTCAGAATGACTGGCTTAAGGCTGCTGGACACAGGATGACATGGATTACTGTGTGAGACCTGCAGCTCCTTTACTATCGCTCTGTGTTGTGCTCATTCAAAATGGTCACCTCCCAGCAGCAGTAGCCAACAGTCACAGATGCCACATGTCCAGGCTGAGGTCCCACCCTAGCAGTGGCAGAATGGGGTGCTCCACCTGCTCCTGTTGTTCTCCTACCCCCAATCCATGATTTCAAGGGCATATCTCTGGTGGACTGGGCAATGCCCGGACCTTGTTTCCTCCAAGAGCACTTCCCCTCACTACCCCTGCTATCTGACGTATCCACAAGGACATTGTCCTTTCTCTACCAGCCACGCCCACCACCAACCAGCCAATGAGCCCCAGCACTGAGTGAGGGTTTGCTCCCTGGACCTTGAGTAAGGAACCTCTAGAAGGACCTCCCAACAGTCTACTCACCCCGGGATGGTTCCCAGGTACCAGTGAACCAACAATACAACACCAAGTCTCCCATAGACATTGTCAAATCCCTATGATGGATAATTTTATTCCCCATTTTATAGTCATTGTATGACAAGCCTCAGTGACAGTCCTACAATCTCCCACAGCAGCACAGTGCAGAGGAACAAAACAGCCTCACCTAGTCAGTCTGCCAGTGACAGTGCTGGGTCCTAAGGCCACTTCCTTGATTTCTAAATCTTGGTTTCCTCATTTGGACAAAGCGCACAACAATAGTAGTACCATGCCACAGGGGTGTTTCTCTGTTGTCTTCTTAGCACTATTTACTAGAGGAAATTACCTCATTACTGCTCCAAAATCTGTTCCCTTTCATTAGGCCTTGCTCCTTTCCTCTGTGACACCTCTCCAGAAATGGGCCTGTGTTGAGAGAGTGCAGGAGTCCATAAACACAGCTCAGAGAGCAGAGGAAGTGCTCAGTCAGTGTTATCTGCTCTTATGGTTTCATTTTGATTCCCAATCCCAAGTGTTCTCAGTTACTGAATGAATGAAAATATGTCCACTGTTGTCTGCACACCAGGTCCAATTTCAATAGACGCACAGAGGAGCTTTGAAAAACCGTATGTTCTGAGATTCTTCAGGGGCCTCTAGCAGGACCTTGTTTTTCTCCTGGCAGGTTAGAGTACCAAGGCCTGTGCCCACCTGTTCCTCGGACAGAGGATGACTTTGACCCAGCTGCCAAGTTCCATGTTGCTGCCAGTGTGCCCTACATGCATAAAGCTCTGGGCCCTATCAGCAGAGTCAGCTCTGGGAGGCGGGCTTTGGGAGGCATGGGATGAGGCTGACGGTCTCTAGCAAGGCCCTGGGTCCAAATGCTACCCGTTCCTCTGCCTACCTCTTCCCACCTGATTGTACAGCCTTGTTAGGTCAGTGCCTTGGAGTCCTTTGGATTTCTCCATTAGATCCTGGGTGAAGAGCAGAGAAGGTGGGAATATTCTAATCTAAATCCTCCCTGCTGCCCCCATGATAGAAAGGAAAGGGGAAGGTAACTGTAGGGCTCATGATTGGCTCACAAAGGTACACAAGGAAGGTCCTTGTATTCTAGGCCAACGTAAGGCAGGACCTTGCCCAGGCAGCCTGCACCAGGTGGTGACTGTTGGCATGCACCCTTGTGGCCTTTGCAAACCGGAGCTGCCTAGGCTGAAGTGGCCTGGGGTTCCTCAACCCTGATCCTATCCCCCAACCTGCCCTTGTGTTCCAGATACTTCTTTAGCACGGTGCTCCAGTTCCAGTTGCATGAAGCTCTGTGCAATGCCTCGGGCTACGTGGGTCCACTGCACCAGTGTGACATCTATAGCTCAAAGATAGCTGGGAGGATCCTCGGGTGAGTGGCCTCTTCCCTCATTTGTCCTCAGCTGCTCTGTTTCCCTTGTAAGCAATCCTGCTCAAGGCCCCCTTTTCTCACCCAGCCTCCTTGGGCTACCTGGGCAGAACTTCACTGAGCTTCCATCCTGCTGCTAGATCACCCTCATGTCAGACTGCGCTCTTTCCTACATGAATTGGAGCATATTTCCCTTTGCTGAACACTTTATGGTCAGACAATGTTGGACCCCTTCTGCTAATACACACACACACACACACACACACACACACACACACACAGAGATATACAGACACTCAATCAAACCATCTCTCTTGCTCTGTGGTGTTTCCTTTTGTTTCATTGTGCTCTTGAAGTAGACTACGAAAGGCTGGTGAACCTGAATTGAAAGCACAAAGCTCTTCTTAAGACCCACCAGGCTCTCTGATGAGTTTTCTTACTATTTTGTACTAGTAGCTCTTAGCTTTGCAAAATAAATATTACTATCTGTAGTTTACAAATAATGCAACCAAAGGTCAGGGAGGTCACAGGATGGCGACTCACGGACACAGCAAGGAGGAAATCTATGCTTTGAAGCCAGAGCTAACTTCAAAGCATGGTCTTTCACACGGCTGCCTCCATCAGTTAAAGGATAAGAGCCCTGGTGAAATTAACTTCGTCTACTCCAGCAACTGAGATGTGCAGCTCATACACTGATGTGGGCTTTTTTCCACTGATCTCCACTAATTTCAATGTGTCTGTTTCCCAAATTGGTCAAGGTTGCTTTAAAACTCATTCATATTCCCAGAGGATTCAGAATGTCCCCTACTTTAGTATCCTCTGCATACTTAATGAGCATACTTGTGATTCTACCATGCAGTACACCTGTAGCCAATAGGCCAGATGTAGTTGCAGGACGGCTCACTGGGCTTTACTCACAGGGCGAGAAGAACCTTGCATGACCTACATCTCCCTTGTCTATTTGTTCTTTACCTTTTATCACTATGAGGGGGCATTCTGGATGACTCCTATCTTTAAACTTTTCTGAGGATCTTCAATATAAACGCACCTCTCTACTCCTTGTATTCTTATCCACTCACGTATTCACCCAGCAAAAATGTACTCGTGCCAGTGCCAACCAACCACCATGAATCCAGCAGGGGGAAGGAGATCTGAAATAATTAAACACCACACAATGAGAGAGGTGTGGAAGGCCTTGGTGGAGGGTTAAGAGATTGTGTTTGGAGAACAAGGAAGGATCTCTGTACTACAGAAATAGCAGATGTCTGTTTTCTTTACATCAACTCACTTTAATTCCTCCTTCTCCCACCTCCATGATGGGGCATTTCACCTTGGCCATTCTCACCACTTCCATCCTCCACTCACCCTGGGTGTAGAGGGCTGTCAGGGTCTGACTGGCTCCAAAGAAGATGACCAGTCATACTCCACCCTCGCTCACCAGCCCTCCTACATTACCATGCAGACCCCTGATCCAGGAAGATACTGACTCTTCCAAACTTAGAGCCTTAAACATCATTTTCTTGGCAGTGGGCAGATGAGAGGCTCCTGAGAAATGAGGATATTACAAGCTTTGTGAAAGTTGAAATGGCAGCAAAGAGGAATGTGGGGTTCACAAGGGAGAGAGAAGACAAGGTGGGAATTGGGCAGGAAGGAAAAGCAGCTGTTACTGCACCGGGCCAGGTTGGCCTGCTGCAATATACACCAATCACTGAGCAAGTGAGCATCAGAAAAGAGAAGGAATGAGAGCAGTCACTCAACTCTGAAGGCTAGGACATGGGGATATCCATGAGCTCAGGCATGGTGTAATTGGAGGTTAACTAAACGTAGGGGTTGGGGAAGTAACTTAGTGGTAGAGCACTTAACAAGCATGAGGCCTGGGTGCAATCCTCAGGATCACCACCAAAGAAGAAATAGATGAGTAGATAGGTAAAAGTGAGATGGGTTCATTGTAAAGAGTTTATGCAGGATTTCTCTCAGTTTCACAGCAGGGCCGGAACAAGAATAGTTTCGTTGCTCTTTTGCCTTTTGTGAAATGGAATCTTGTAGTGTAGCCCTGGTTAATTTCAAACTCTAGACTCAAGAGGCCCTTCTACATCACCTTCCAAATTATGTGGAACCACAGGGAGCATTTCACTGAGCCTCATATGCCTAATGCATCTTAAAATTTGATTTTGTTACCTTTGACTCATCCCCCTAAAGCCAAACACCCTGGCCAGGAGCTGGGAATGGAGAATCAAAGTGAACCCCATTCCCAAAGCCCCTCTACCTCACCCATCCAGCTGTGGAGGGTGGGTCTGGCTTTGTTCACAGCCCTGTCATTGTCACTTTGGACCTGGGGGTTCCAGGCAGTGCAGGCTGACAGCTTTGCAGTCTCTGGTCTTCTGTGCTGTCTCCACCAACTGCAGGCTTGGCTCAGCTAACACATTTTGCCCCTCAGCCTATACTCTTCTTTCTGAACAGTTAGATTTTTAGTAACTTAAGGTTCCCTCTTCTAGCTTTTTCTTTTTACCTAAGATATAGCTTCTGACCAAATCCTCTAGTCATGGGTTTTGTTTTTTTGCTTTTTTTTCAATTGTGTCAGGTTTTTACCTTAATATTTTCTAACAGTCTTAACAATCTTTTACCTTAATTTTCAGGGATCCTAACTACATTTTTCTGCAGTAAGGTTTGCCAAGAATCCACTAATCTTTAGTTTCCCAATCTCATTCCTTCCCAGTTAAGTGATGTGTATCACTCTTTGCAAGTTACAAAGTTCTCCTAAGTCAATATGTGACTTAATCCTCACTGGGGGGAAGTTTTCATGGAACCCATTTACTGAAGAGAGAATGCAGTCTACTAGAGGCTTTAAGTTGTATACCAGAAGTTACATGTGCAGAAGTAGCAGGGCTGGGTCTTCAATCTGGGTCTCTGTTAGTCCAGACTCTATTGGTGCCCCCTGGGACTCCAGGCATCACCTTTTTATTACTCAGATCAGGGAATGACAAGTTGAGAAGGATCAACATCTCTAGCTGCCACTGCCCCCCCCCCCACAAGTCAGGGTGAAGAGCCTGGAGCCCGGGCTTTGGCATGGCCAGTACCCCTACTGAGCAAGTGCAATGGGCCAAGCCAAGGTTCTACCACCTGCTACCTAGCGCTGGGTGTGTCTTGAGACAGCAGACATTTGTGTGGTGCTGCAAGTGATACACAGAATATCTCCCACAATTTTGAATCTTAAACCTTCCTAAACTCTGTAAGACCAGAAAGGACTAAAGAGCTGCTTCTGCCCACTGACACTGAACACTTCACAGGAAACTGTGGCTCAGACTTTGTGTCTATTTGAGTCCAGGAGAATAATGATCACAACTGCTTAATAAACATCAGTGGCAGTTAATAGTTAACATTTATTGCCTCTCAGCATTGTAGCAAACCTATAAGGCAGGTACTGGTATTACTTTGATTTTATGAATATTGAAGCTGAGGCTCAAACACCTGCTAAGTGGCTAAGCTCGACTTCAAACTCAGATGAATATATTTCCAAGCTGGTGATTGTGTCGACTATGCTGAGCTCTGTGGGAGAAGTCTGGCTGGCAAAGCCTGGAGGTACACCAAGTAGTCATAGCAGTACTTGTGGAAAGCCCCACACAGCCTTACAGTTATCCCCGCATCCTCCAGGCATGCCCTGAAGCTGGGCTCCAGCAAGCCCTGGCCAGAGGTTCTAAAGGAGCTGACCGTGCAGGCCAATTTATCTGCAAGTGCCCTCATGACCTACTTCAAGCCACTGCTGAACTGGCTAGTGATTGAGAACGTGCGACAAGGTGAAATCCTAGGCTGGCCAGACTACACCTGTCCCTTTTCAGGTTAGTTAATCTGATTCTGAGCCCAGCCTTAGTGTAACCCTAAGCTCTAACCTGCTCTTCCCTGGGCCATTCTCTATGCCAACTCAGCCGTAATTCTCAGGCTGTCCATCGTCCAGCTTGAGCTGGCACAGTACTGGTGCTGGTCAACCTGTCTTTACTCAGCTTGAGTACAGCCATGTCCAGCCCTTACTCAGTTGCTTCTGGCACATCACCCGGCCAGATTGCCAGGCTGGCATCTGAGCAGAGGGTCAACATCTTGCCTCCTGACTAGGTTCCCTAGGGCATGTCACCCTACTCATGCCCGTATCTTTCTCTTCTATTTTGTCTCATTCTCCTTCTCACCCATGTTCTGGGGCTGACAAGTCTAGTAGCAGTCAGATCCCCCAACAACAACAGAAAATCTAGGGCCCCCTTGCTAGGCCCACCTGTTCTGTGAGATGTTCCTGTCCTCCACAGAAAGAAGTACAAACAAAGTGGCATTACTGGATCTGCAGATGAAGACTGACCAGGTTACATTTGTGCTGTGTATACTTCTGGGTTTGAGCTTTGTCATAT